AAAAAAAAAAAAAAAGAAGAATGTCAGCTCCTACTTCAATTCCACAACATTGTTCTCTGGGGCTTAGCAAATGATGTTAGTGCTGGGAATGGAAGAGACTGAATGTAAGATAGTTCACCTTATGGAGAGACTTATTCACAAAGTGTAAGATAGTCCATCTAGAAAATACAGCCCAGAAACGGAAAAACTTAAACCGCTAGGAGAGTTCAATAAGGTGACAAAGTTCAAGATAAATATGCAAAATTATTTAGTATTAGTTTCCTTATTCACCACACACACAAAATGTGATAGATGTAAACTACCCAGGTATACGTTTAACAGGAATACTCAAGATATGTATGAATAAAACATTTGCTAAGAAGAGATGAATTATAAGAAAAATACTATTGGATAGGATCAATATTGTACAGATGACTGTGCCATTTTTTTCTACAAATTCAATCTAATCCAGAAAGGCCTAAAAGAAAATTTTTGTGAGACAGGGTCTTACTCTGTCGTCCAAGACAAGGTAGGACCCAGGAGCTTGAGACCAGCCTGGGCAATATAGGGAGACCCGGTCTCAACAAAAAATACAAAAATTAGCTGGGCGTTGTGGCGTGTACCTATAGTTCCAGCAACTCGGAAGACTGAGGTGGGAGGATCGGTTGAGCCCAGGAGACAGAGGTTGCAGTGAGCCAGATGGCGCCAGTGCACTTCAGCCTGGGTGACAGAGCAATACTCTGTCTCCAAAAAAAAAAAAAAAAAAAAAAAGAATGGGAACAGTGACTCATGCCTGCAATCCCAGCTCTGGGAGGCTGAGGAGGGCGGATGGCTTGAGGCTATGCGTTCCAGACTAGAACGGACAACATGGGAAAACCCCATCTCTACAAAAAAACAAAAATTTAGCCAGCATGGTAGCACAGCCCATAGTCCCAGCTTCTCGGGAGGCTGAGGTGGGAGGATGGCTTGAGCTGGGGAGGTGGAGGTTTCGGTGAGCCTAGATGGTGCCATTGCACTCCAGCCCAGCCTGAATGACAGCAATAATCTATCTCAAAAAGAAAAATATTAAAAATATTTATAATCAGTGTTGGTGAGGATATATTACTGTTATATCTGTCAAGATTTAAAATGTCTCACCATTTGATCCACCCATCTCCCAAAGTGCTGGGATTACAGGCGTAAACCACCGTGCCCAGCCACTTAAAATGTTTGCGATTCATCCGTGTAGTAGCATGTCTTAATAGTTCGTTCCTTTTAATTGCTGAATAGTATTACACTATAAAGAAATATCACATTTTGTTTATCTATTCATCACTTGATGGACATTTGGATCTTGCCACCTTTTGTCTGTTAAGAATAATGCAGGCAGGGCGCAGCAGCTCACTCCTGTAATCCCAGCATTTTGGGAGGCAAGGTGGGAGGATCACTTGAGCCTGGGAGTTAGAGAGCAGCCTGGACAACATAGGAAGACCTCATCTCTATTTAAAAAAATAAATAAATAAAGAATAATACTGCCATAAACATTCACATACAAGTCTTTGTGTAGTCGTTTTTTTGTTGTTTTTTTTTGAGACAGAGTCTTGCTCTGTCGCCCAGGCTGGAGTGAAGTGGCGAGATCTCAGCTCACTGCAACCTCTGCCTCCTGGGTTCAAGCAATTCTCTGCCTCAGCCCTTGGAGTAGCTGGGATTACAGGCACACGCCACCACGCCCAGCTGATTTTTGTATTTTTAATAGACATGGGGTTTCACTATGCTGGTTAGGCTGGTCTCAAACTTCAACCTCAGGTGATCCGCCTGCCTCAGCCTCCCAAAGTGCTGGGATTACAGGCGTAAGCCACCGCACCTGGTCGTATGTTTTAATTGCTTTGAGTAGGTTCCTACGAGTGGAAAGTTTGGTTGTGTGGTAAGTCTATGTTAAAGTTTTAAAGAAACTGCTAAACTTTTGCCAACTGGCTGTGCTATTTTATTTTGAGACAGAATCTCGTTCTGTTGCCCAGGCTGGAGTGCAATGGCACGATCTCCGCTCACTGCAACCTCGGCCTCCCTGGTT